CGTGTGGTATCTAGTATCAAAATACCTAAACATGGAGCTATTTCCAGGCTGTATAAACATTAGCTACCTGGAAGTCCGATAGTTTATAAAAACCATCCACTCAACAGACTCTATAGTTCATACTATACACATGCAAATAGGCTCGTAATGTTAGAAACCTCTTGAACCCACGACTGTATAAACACGCACGCACCCAGACCTAGCTCACTATAAATCATAGCAACACAAGACCTGTCACCTGTATACAAACATACACACGAGCCTGTACTGCAAATTTACGACTCACCATGGTACTTTGCCGAACAAACAGCCCCACCGCGCAACCTGTATAGCAAATCAATAACCAACCGGGACTCCCTGTACTAAGAACCTTTCACACAATAAACTTTTGACTGCCTGTATAATAATCCATACTAACTCAGAACCTGTAATAACCAACCATATTCCACCGCCACTATGCCACTCTGTCGTTATACATCTTTCCATCACTCCAACCACTTGACCATGTACGTATGATGCTCGCTACTAAACACTATGTACGATACATGTGAAAGTTTGTCGCCTCTGATATACCATAATACATACACAGACCTGTATATCAACATACACAGACCCTGTATACAATCATTTATCGTTCCAGACCCATCTTGTAAATAAGCACATACACAGACCTGTACTGACAACATACAGCAGACCTGTATAAACATACACAGACTGTATAAGGACATACAAGGGCTTGCTATGACATACCAGACCTGTTAAACATACACAAGACCTGTATAACGGATACACAGACGCTGTTACTTAAGATTATACAGTATGACTTTAATAGTCGAGGACTGTATCAAAACTTTATACCACCAGTTACGTGGTCTAAAACATACACTGACCTGTATAACACAATACACAGAGCGCTGTAATTCAAGACCATACACAGACGCGCTGTATTTCAAAGAGGCACTACACAGTTCCTGTATACAACACACACAAGAGGCTGTATAACAAACATGCGAGCAGACCTGTATAACAGTACCACAGAACCTGATATATTTAGCAACACATACCACAGAACCCTGTATAATATTCGGAGTACGGACCAAAGACCTGTATAAACATACGGCCGGGGCACCGGGATGTCTAAAAGCATGACACAGGACCTGTATACACACATAACGACGCTTGTATCAACATAAAGGCTCAGACCTCGTATAAACATACACAGACGCTGTATAAACACACCCGACAGACTGTATAAACATACACAGACCTGTATAAACATACACAGCCTGTGATAAACATACACAGACGCTGTATAAAACATACACAGACTCTGTTAATAACAACAGCAGACGCTGTAATGATTAACATACAGGCTGACCGTAGTATATACATATATGACCGATAGTACTAAGGACCGTGCTTATAACAGCATCACCACAGGGCGTCCTCGCTATACAAGACTATCACACGACCTAGTACTACAAAACCACAGCACATGACCTGTGCATAACATCACAGACCTGTATAACACATCACAGACTGTATAACTACACAGACCTGTATAGGGACATAGCACAGACCTGTAGTAAACATCACAGCAGCACGCTGTATAAACATGACCACAGACCATGTATAACACACAGACTTATAAACAACACAGACCTGTATAACATACACAGACCTGTATAAACACACACGACCTGTATCTCGTCGTTTGCGGTGTATTGAGAGGCGATCCGTGTGTGCCCGCAGTCGCACAGCTACTGGGCGGGCGGGCGCCGCAGGTGATCCCTTCGCGGCTGCCCGACGGCCAACTGGTGTTCCTGCTGCCACAGCCACTACGTGCAGCTGCGGCGGCGGCGGCGCAGCACCACCAGCTGGAGGGCGGCGGCGCGGCCGCGGCGGCGGCGGCTGCGGCCGGCGCGGCGGGCGTCGCCCTCGCCCGCCGCCTCAGGGCTCTGGACGCCACGCCCACGCCCCGCCCCGCCCGCGCCGCCCGCGGGCTCGCCCCCGCGCCGCCCCCGCCGCCCCAGCCCCAGCCGCCCCGCAGCCCATGGAGAGCAGCCATCGACTTCACCGTCGCCCGCTGCAAGAGTGTGGAGGCGCCCGAGGCGAGGCAGACGGCGACATCGACGAGGAGGCGGGCGTCTGGAGCGGCCGCCTGCCCCCCGCCTGTCCTTGCTTCACGACCGCCCTCCATCGGCCGATGTCGCTCGGCGGCTCGGGCACCTCGGCGTTCGCGGCCTCTGCGCTTCCCAAGGCGCAATTGTGCGTTATGCGCCTTCCGGTCGCTTTCGGGACGCCACGCGGACGGCCAGCGGCGCCAGCCGGCCCGTACACACAGGCGACGCGCGGATCCCAAACGGCGCGACGCCGCGTTATTGACGAGGCGTTAAGTGCGACTGTTACGAGCTGACGTAAAGCTGCGCGGTGGCTCGGTGGCAAACAACGGGGTTTATGCCTGGTGATTTTTGGGCCGTTAAGAAGGAAGTTGAAAGCGCGGGCTTGCGTGGCCTTGGGACCGGGTGAATGAATGCCCCCCATAGGCGCCAAAGCGGTCTCTTGTGGCTTTGAGAAGCGAAGGCGGTGGTCGCTGTTGAAGGCTGCTGAACGAGGTGCGCCTGCTTACGAAAGCCGAATTTGTTGTTGTTGAATTTGTTAGTGTTTGAAAGGAAATCGCTTAATTTTGGTAGTAATAGAAGTTATAGGAGTTTTAGAAGTCTGCGCTGAGAAAAAATCTATTTGACGGTTGTATAATTATTTTCGGATTTAGTAACACGGAAGTGTAAATGTGTCTGTTTTTATGGATAGTTACGTGTTTTTGAAAGCACATTGAAATGCTATTTTTTAACGAGCTTTAGCGGGACAAATGGTATTCTTTGGCCGAATACAATTTTGTGGTGGGTGGAAACCTAAACTCCCTGATAATGAAGGAGGAAGTGCTTTTCTTGCGTAAATAGACACGTGTGTTTCATTTTTAAGCATCTATCTGTGTGATTCATAAGTAGACGCGAAGTAATGTGTAAATTCCACAATCCATTAATACGTTGAGCAAATACTGAAATGGCTTTCTTTTGCTTGTGAACTCAAATGCAGCTTAATTATGTGGGGCTCTTCGTTTATTACTCATGGTAGAAGTAGAGCTGGTTGTATGTGTTGCTGTTTTGTTAGAAATACTAAAAACTCAAATCTCTAGAGTGGTTACCTATGCAAATAAGGTTTTTATAACTCGGGAGCGAAAATGTCTACTTTTCAAATGTTGCTAACCTCGCTTTGTGGGAACTTTTATTCATCATTCAACTATTTACGATTACAAGATGTGGCATAGTTGAAGCCCTTGAGCCACACAGTTGTTTAACACAATAAATAAAATGAAATGCGTGGAAATCGTGTAGGCTGTAGCGTTGAGCGGCGCTCACCTGCACGACGGAGAGCAGCGGGTTGGCGCCGGGGTGCGCGGGGTCCAGGTCGCACGAGGGCTCCGGGGTGGCGCTGCTGAGCGACGACCCCAGCGGCGACGCCTTGCCGCAGCTGCTGCCGGGCCTGCGCACACGGAGACAAACACATTGTGGCTTCATACAATCGAACACGGGCGAGAGTGGTTTGTACAACAGTAGATTTAATAACAATCTAGACCGTAGCCTCAATTTAACAACTACCCTGCTCACAATAAACTAAATACATAGACCCACTACAAGGAGAGATAATTTAGGAACGGCTACCACACCGCAACATATCACCCTGTATGAAGCCGCTCTACTTTGAGACCATCTACGCGTCTCGCAAGTCACGACAATGAATTGCCCGCCCCTCGCCCTAGTGCACCTACACGCACAGACACGCGCTTCACCTGTCGCCGACGCCGCTAGCAGAAGAAGACTGGGGCATTGTTCTCCTGGCCTTATATAGGCCCTTTTGGCTCTCCCCGCCGCCTCGAGTGCCTCCTCCCCAAAGCCGCTCTGGGCCCGCTACGTCCACGGAAAGTCCCAGTTCGTCATCATTCCGCCCTTCGTTGAACATCCGGCGGTTTGAGCGTGGCACGACGCCACTGTATGCACTCCGCCGTCCTGCGCGCGGACGAAGGCAACGCCAGACCTCGAAAGGCGTTAACGCCTTCCTTCGCCTACGCTCGGAAATAAACTATCAACTTAAAATACAATTGGTCTCACTTGAGGGAGACCTCTACGACATTCATTACCACTCGTGCTTCGAGGATTCATGTATACTTTAGAGATAATAATTTAGACATCATAAATAACTAATTGTAAAATGAACGACATAATAATGTTTGTACTTTGTATATGAATTTTTTTAAACCAGAACAGTTTTCTGAGCCACCTTCTTGGGAACATTTCGTAGAATCCATTCGTACTATTCATTAGAAGTACACTTTGTGCGCAGAATATTATTAATGACTAATGAGAGGCTTGAGAAGATTCAAGGTTTCTGATAGAGGAAAATTCATATCGTCACATCAAACCAGTCAAGCGCAAGGTTAACTGTTGTCAGCGTAACTTGAGCTTGCCTCAGATGGGAGTTCCTCTTGCGTACGTCCGTGGAGAGTGGAGGAGTTTTCAAGGAAGCGCTGGCGTTTAATCATTTTTGCAATTTAAGTTGTGTGATTTCGCCTTTTATCTTGTGATGCAATCCATTAAAATGTGAGTAATCATGCCGATTTCAGGACATTTTGATTTATTGATAGAAAAATTAGAAATACGATGTATATTCAATTTGGCCATTCAAGGAGGATAAAGCGTATATAAAGCACTCTTTCTAAGAGGAAATATGAAAACACTCAAGACGTTCTAATATTTGTGGACTCTTTTGAAAATGCGTTAGAGCTGTTCTTAAATTCTGTGTACTATTGCATGCGTATCATGGCGACCACAATGGAATAAAGCAATTCTGAGAAGTCTTGAGTAATGTTGCCTATCCCCCTCTGGTGTGTCAGTCAGCTATTTGAATGTTCAAATTAACGAAGCGGAATGACAATTAAAAATTATCTCTTGAAAGGAGGGGCTAAGACTGTAGGATTAATTGGCATAATCGAATTATGTAAATGCGATTACGTGGCTTTGGAAATGAAAATATATCCAACTTACTGTACAGAAAGCAAATACTCGTTGAAAATACTTTAAGAACAATGGCTGGCTACCAGTACTTCGTTCTTGATGATGGGTACTGAGATAATTTATATAGAGTTGTCAAATTGTATAAAATTCAAAATCCCTATACTACCGTTCGAGTGATTCAGGGATTTTTGTTGCCACAACGTCATCTACCGGTTGACGGTCAGACACACGACAGTCACGGAAATGCACTATGGAAAATCGCTATAAGTCATGACAATATCCAAGAGAAATCATTGCTAAAGTTGGTATCAGATTTGATATAATTCTATAGAATCCATAAAATGATACTTCAGTAACGTGTATGAAACATTATTTAATTTGTTCTAAGTAGAATATTTAAATATGCCACTTTTAATTCGTATAAAGAGTTTAAAACTGTCACACGTCTGAGACACCATCGACCAATATTTTGTTCGTGATTTTTTTTCTTGAACATTCTAAAGTGCACCTGGTGCCGAACTCACTGATGTACGGTTCTATTACTTTTTGTCTCTACACTTGAGTCGCGCGTTGGGCCAAGTGTATCCTCCCCCCACCCTGCCGCCTTCGTCGTTCTCGCCCTCGCTGCTGTCACAGACGTCCTTCGCCACCAGGTCCCCGTTCAGGCTCTCCCTCGCTCCCGCCCTGACGCCTGCGACTGCCACCCCCGCTGGAGGCTCCCTTCACGTCAGCTGTCTCGAGCCTCCACTTCCCCTCGCATTGTCACTTTCACTTTTGCGTCTGGCGTCCGTCTCCTCGCCGTTCTCTAATTTACTTCCTTTTCGGTTTTCACGCTCTCACACTATGCTCCAGCACAAGATAATTATTGCATTGCTTTTTATAGCGTTTTATTTTTTTCTCGCGATTTGTTTATCATATCCGTTGCTATCTCAATTATTTTTTTAGTAAGCTTTATTTTCGCATGAACTGCAATATTATTAGTGATCATATATACAATTCTTTACAATACACCATGAACTTAATTGTTCTTTAGAAATTTGAAGACTTAATATATGTGAGATTTTCCAGTAAGTAATTTAGAAAGTATCACAATTCTCAATTTGTTAGCTTTCAAATGTTTATTTAACAATTTTTGGCCTTTTCCCCCTTTGTCTCTTCCAGGTTATTCTCTTTGAATGACAATTATCTTTATTCCTCGAGAATTGCTTCTTCCCTTCTTTGGCGCCTTTCCTCTCTCTGTTGTGGCCTCCTTCGTGGGCAGCGCTCCAAGACATTTATCGTTTCCGCGGCCGCTATCGATTGCATTAAAATTCGATCTCGTGTGAGTTTCCCCTCCGTTCGGGCGAGACGGCGTGTTTGGAAGTTGGCAGTGGGGGCGGCGGCGGCGGTCGCGGGTGAGCCAGTCGTAATCGCGTATAGCCCCGGGATTTCCACGTAATTAATGCGGCGAGATTTCGCAGCTGCAATTCGCTGGTTTCTCGATTGGGCCGCGAGATCGCGCTGTACTCTCGTTTGCGGTTCCTCCTCCTCCTACACCTTTCTCCTCGCACGCTTCTCGTGCGTACGACGGAATCGTCACGGGGGAGATGTGGAAATGAATTATCTTTTAATGTGAACCAGTTTCGTTTTAAAAATATGAGGCTGGGAAATCATCAGTAGACATTTTATGATTAATATATCTAGAAATCACTGATCCTGAACTGTATTTGTGCACGTGAAACTCAATTGTATGGCGCCAGCAGTATTTTTATTGTTCAAATTTGTAAAGTGGAAACGGTCCACTGATCTGATAAAAAAATTTAAAATAGTTTTTTTAATTTAAACTTGAATTAAAGCGGTCTTGTGAATCCAATTATTGAAAATGCTTGTACCTGGCCGGTAGGTCCATGCCTTTATTTCCGTTAGCAGTGGTGTAACTGCGTAAAAGAAAGGCTGTGTTAAAAAATGGAGCCCTATTTAAAAATCGCTGCTTGAATAGTATTTTGCAGTATAATATCGCCAAATATTTTTTGTTACAACTTAAATAACTGTAAGTAGTGTTTAAGGTTAAAAGTAAGCATTTCTATAGAACGAAATTGAATTATTCTTCTTGTTAACGTAACTTTATTAGGAATCCTTTAGTATACATTTGGATGTAGGATTGTTGGACCGGCACCAGCCAAAGCAACGTGGGTGTCGTGCCACTGTCCATTACGCGCCCCGTGGCGGTGAGAGGCACTGACCTGACGGAGAGCGGCGGGGGCGGGTGGTGGGCGGCGTTGTTGTTCTCGTCGCCGCCGCCCGCGGTGCTGCTGTCGGGGCGCGCCTCGCTGTCGGCCTCAGCC